TGTTAATAAATCACTCAAGCTGCACTCTGGCAGCTTATGACATCAGCAGATCCCCTCAAGTGAATTACAGCCATTAATTTACACAGAGGAGGCCATCTATCATCTATTATTGACCATCTGCTACTAAGAATACATACATATTTGATAAATTAGTAAGACTTTGGCGGGAAACATCTTTTATTTTCTTCCTAAGTATAGTCACTTGTGATATCCAGCTTTGGGTTCGTGACTGTCAATCAAAACCAACTTGTGACATCAGCCAGAAGTGGTCACACCTTGATGGCCTGAGTCCACCTGCCAGCACCTCACAGTGGCTGGTGCTTAACATCCTGCTCCTGCACAGAGGGAAGGGACTGATCCTCTCACAGCTACCACAGGAAGGTATTTACTCACCCAGTACACAAAGGAAACAAATTCTTAGTGCCACCATGCCAACAGAAGAGTGTTGTTTGCAATGTGAAACCTGTTACCGCTTCACACATCATTTCTTCCCAGTAGTGAAAGTGATGGCTACACTTTCACTTGAACAACTCCTTGCCCTGCACAGAATATAAAAAAAAAAAAAAAACACCATAAATGAAAGATCAGGCTCATTACACCTGATGATTTCCTTTGGCTCCTTCCTTGTAACACTCTCTGCTTCTGCATACTTCACCTCCACTCAGTGATACTGCTGGGCTCCTATGACTCTCAGACCTGATGGTGAGGATTTGAGCACAGTATTTCCAGTTTAGAATTCCAACACAAGTTTTACATAAGACATAGCACAAGTCATGGTGTGCTTTAAAACTTTTATGGCATGAGGGTGCCTTAGAGCCTGGCAGGCGTGCTAAAGAGCCAGAACATACCTGACAACTCAGCTTTGACACTGGCACAGGAACGCTCCCAGATGTCTGTGTCACAGCTGCTGATGCTGGGTCTCTGTAAAAGCACTGCAGAATAAAAGTCAGAAATAAAACCCCAGCGCTTGCATGGCAGAGTAGAACTGTCAGGCAGGTGATGGACTTTTCAATCGTGGTTGTATATTTGCAGTTCTCCAAATTACCCACTGCCACAGCCTGTAAATCAGATTTGCAAATAAAGTCAGAGTGGGCACACAGGCACAGAACACCATTTGCTCAGCTAGAGCTGCATCTTTTTCAGCTTAAGCTGGATTTGGCTTCATATCAACAGCAAGGTCTTGTTGTAGGGATGGTTTGGAAGAGGGAGGCTCAGGGCTGGATTCTGACCCTGCAGAGGTCTGGGCCCACACAAATCCCCAGAGATCACAGTGCAGCAGCAGCTCCTACATGCAACTCAAGTCTAAAGTTACCCTTTTGCTTCTTAAAAGATATGGCTTGTATAAAACTACTTATCAAATGAATTTTTTAGTAATTACAAATTCCTAGTAAAAACTGGATGACCAAAAATGTTTACAATATTAGGGATGTGCTATTCCCAAAGTGGGAACATCTACAAAACCTGCAAAAAGCAAATTTTTTTTATAACTGTAACAATTTAGGAAGACTACTTTGGGAATTTAAAACTACTGATTCTTGCCAATGCACACTGAAATTTATCTTGGTACATGCTGAAAATCTTTTGGCTTAATCATATCAGAAAAAAAAAAAAAAGTCTCCAGAAGCAGAAGTCACTAAATCAACACAAATATCCTGAGTAACATGTAACTGAAATTTTTACACCTTGAACAAATTATTCCATCATTCCCATCCTTTGATAACTATTTAGAAACAACAGAGGTTTATTACCCGAGATTTTTTTCATGTTCTGGTGAGGTCTAGACTGATGTGGCAACATTAACTTAGAAAGTAAAACTAATGTTGAAACTAACTGAAATAGTTTCTAATTTGAAGTCTGAAACATCCTATACAAAATGTAATAAATTACCCAAATTACATTTAGTGGGTGATAGCTACCATGTATCTGCTGGTTTCCAAAAAAAACCAACCAACCAACCAAAAAACCAAACCAAAAAAAAAACCCAAACAAAACAAAGCACTCAAACACAAAATAACCCAAACAAAACCACAAAAACCCCCAAACAAACAAACAAAATCCAACAACAACCCAACAGGCACATTTAACATAGGAAACTTATTCTTGAAGCATCCTATTATAATTTCACCATGGTTTGATCACCCTTGCTTTCAAAGAGAGTATTTCGTTCTATTGAATCAAAGGCCTGCCATGCAAAAATGCTACAATGCAGAAGAAACAACAAACTGTAATTGAATTGGAAATGGTGAATATTTTTTCATTAAACTTTCATAATTGTTACCAGAAGAAATAAGTCTCAGATAAATGAATTCTGAGGGGAAAAAAAATAAAAATTGTCCTTCCAGATGTAGCCAGAGCTTTGTCAGCAGATCACCTGCTGGAAAGGATGCAGATAGGGGTTTTTCTGTGTGCTGCTTTCAACCACACTAAGGATTCACCAGCCATTGCCAGAGCTATGGGAAACTCTTGTTGCCATAAAGACTGAAGTCAGCACATTCCAATCTAGCAATATCCGACCTTCCAAGAGGACTGTAGCCATTCCCATAAACCTACAGAGCAACCTGGTGCACTATAAAACAATATGCACACATTGTTACTAATATTATCAGTGCCACTGCTTGCAATGCTGCTGACAGTCCATTCTGGTTTGAATTAAATATTTTAGACGTTTATAATTTACCTGTAAAAGTCTATGTTAACCTGGTTTAGCAACTGGGCAGGCAAAATCTCAGCTTCAGAGGCAATTTCTTGTTATCAAATTAGAGTAAAATCAATTTGCCTAGCAATTTGGCTTGTTGAGACACATGGCATTTCCAAATATCATCTCACTGGTGTTATTAAAGCTAAATCAAACAAAGTCACCTGCAAAATTATGTTCAATTGAAAACCTTTAGCATCCTACTGTGCATAGAGCTGAGGATTTGGTATTCTGGGTGAGTAGCTGTTTACAGGATAGGTGTTACACGGAAAAGCTTTCCCTCTTGCACAGATGTTTCAGGTTGCCTTAGAACAAACAATCTAAGAGCTTTGAGAAACTTATAAAAATAAAGCTCGTATTCGAGAACACTTTGTACTGCCACAAGCTCATTGTACAACAAAATACAGACTATGCAGCATGAAATATCACGCACATCATACAATTCCTGAACTTCCAGCAGGAAAACGTTGCCCTGCGAGCTCTCCAAGCCCCACGAGTGTAGCACCGCTCAGCAGCTACTGCACTAAGCTTTTTTCCCCCGCAAGCGGGTGCGCTTCCGCCCGTTCCTGCCCTCGGGCGGTGCCGCAGCCGCGCCTCCCCGCCCCGCTATCGCGACAGGGCGCGACACCGGCGGCGCCGCCTTTGTTCGGGCGCGGGGGCACGGCCGCGCCCCGCCACCGGGGGGCGCTCCCGCCGCCCCGGGCCCGTGCGGGCCGCGACCACCGCCCGCCGCTGCCCGGGGAGGGGAGGGGAGGGCAGGGGCGTGCCGTCCCAGCCCCTCCGGCCCGCGGGGGCCATTTTTAAATGCCTCTGTCAGGCAGCGGCGCGGGGGGGAGCAGGTGCCGGAAGAGCTGAGTTTGCGATCCCACTCCCCTCTCAGGCGGGGCAGGGGGAGCTGTCGCCTCCCGGACCCCCGAGACCAGCACGGCAGGGGACCCGCGAGGCGGCACGAGGAGCCGCATCCCGGCTCCATCGCGGTGCGCGCCCCGCGGCGGGGAGTCCCCCGCGTTTAAAGGGCAGCACCGCGCGGAGGGATCCCGGAGCGGGACTTCTTCCCGCACACACGGCCGTGCGGGGCGGCCCGGGCCTCGTTCCCTCCCTCGGCGGGATCCCTCCGCCGCGCCGGCCGGTCATGGGCCCCGCGGCCGCCGCCGTCCCCGCTCCGCGGCCGGACGCGCTGCCCCGCCTGCCCCCGCGCCGCCCGCGGTGAAGCGGCGGCGGGAGGAGGCGGCGGCGCGGAGCGGCGCGGCTGGGGGCGGGCTGTGTTTCGCTGCGAGCGCTGTATCCTTCCGCGGCGGCGGGAGTGCGCGGCGGCGGCTGTCCGCGGTGTCCCTCCGCCGCCGGGAGCGCAGGGGCACTCGGCGTCTCCCCGGACGGGGCGAGGAGGTCGCGGGCTCCGCCGGGAGGAACAAGAAGAAACTTCGGGGCGCGGCGGCCAGCGCGGCGCTCGCCGGGCTTGGCAGGGCGGCGGAACGAGGGCTCCCCGCAGGGAAAGAGAAGAAGGACGAGGAAGCGGCGGCCGGCCCGCGCCGCCACCCCGCGGGGTCTCTGCGGGGGAGCCCGGGGGACTCTTTCTCGCGGGGTGCGGCGGAGGGATCTCCAGGCGGCTCTCCCCGCCGCCTCCCCCCTGCGCCGCTCGCCCCTCGGCGCCGCCATCTTGGATTTTAATCCGCCATTTTTTTTCCTCCCCCCACTTGGAATTATTTTTTATCACTATCGCCGCTTTTTTTTTTTCTCCCCCCCTGCCTTAATTTTCCTCCTCACTCCGCCCCTCCCTGGCTTGGTCTTCACTTTCCCCCCTTCAGCTTCCTCCCTTCCCCCTCCCCCCCCCCCCCTTGCCTTTGATGATTCATTTTCTCCCAGTGGCAGCGGGGGCAGCGCCGGCGGCGGGGGACCCCAGCGCGCGGCGGTGAGTTTGGGTCTCTGGGGAGGGTCTGTGCGTGCTCTGTGGGGCAGGGGAGGCGCCGGGGCCCTGAGGGGGCTGCGCCCCTGCGGGCGGGGGGGCCGCGAGGAGCCGCGCCCGGGGTCCGGCAGCGTGCGGGGCCGCCGCGGGCAGGGCGGGGGCGGCCCTCGGGGCTCTGACAGCGGCGGGCGCCGCGGGGACCCGCGGGCGGAGGGGCGGCCGCGGGCGGGGCCGGGCCCCGGGCCGGGGGCGGCGGGGGCCGCGCGGGGCCGGGGCGCGCGGCGCCGGCGCGCGGAGAACGCCAGGGGGCGGCCGCGGGCGCGGGGGCGGCGCCGCCCGGGCCGGACCCGGTCCCGCTCCCCTTTCCGCCGGGCCGGCCCTGCGCTCGGACTCTCAGCCGCTTCCAGCAGCTCAGCGTCTGGGTCGGTGGTTTTAGTGACCCTCTCGGTTTGATGGAATGGCCGGACTAGTTGCCTTGGGGTGTTTTTTTGGTGTGATTTTTGGGTTAGAGTTGGTTTTTGTGATTTTTCATCGGGGGATACATGCCATTAGGGAAGGAGTAAAAGGCACGTATTTGTCCAACATCTGTATGTGAAACTTTAAAGTGAAGTTACCTTAGACGTTACTCTCGGAAACGCGAAAACCGGTGAGTGAGAGGGAGAGTGCGTGGTGTTTTGTCAGGGTGTGTCACAGGCAGTGAGAACCTGAAGTGTAGAACTTTGTGGAGTTTCTGGTGCGTTAAATTCAACACGTCTCAGGAGAAGACGATAATCTTAAATTGTGCCGGGTGAGGTTTAGGTTGGACATCGAGAAGAATTTCTTCACAGAAGGGGTGATTAGACATTGGAATGGGCTGCTCAGGGAGGTGGTGGAGTCACCGTCCCTGGAGGTGTTTAAGGAAAGAATTGGACATGATAATTAGTGCCGTGGACTAGTTGAAAGGGTGGTGTTTAGTCACAGATTGGACTCGATGTTCTCAGAGGTCTTTCTCAACCTGTTTGATTCTGTGATACGAGATGGCAAGATGATCAGTGTTCCTTAATGTAGCTATAAATACCTACTGGCAGGTTTTTATCAATGAGGATAAAATGTATTGTAGCATAAATTCTCATGGAGCCATGCCTTGTTTCCATGATCTGACCATTATAACTACATATGCAGCTGCTTCAATTTTCTTAATACTGAACTTTTCTCTTCAGTTCTCTGCTTTCTTCCTTGCAAGTAACAATATGGGAGGAAATCAAGGCTTACTTGGTTGAAAACTTGGATGTTACTGTTTCTTTATCAGGCTGTTTTCTTATTAGCACCAGATAGACACAGACATCTCTGCTTTATACCCACTGGAGCTCACAAACTGGAAATTCAGACTTATTTAAAGCAATAGCTTAATGTATTGCATATAAAATGAATGAGTGGGATGATGAATCCTTGTATACTCAGTAACAGGACAGATTAGGGCTCTTGAATGCTTTTTCTGCTCTGTTAGCACTATCCTATTCCAGGACTACACTTCCCAGTATGCTCTTCACTGCACACAGCACATGCTTAAGGCCCAAGTCTGTTGCCCAAGTCAGCATGGTACGTGTGAGGTGTGATGCCCTTGTGCCAAAGCAGAGCTGTGGTTTGAAGATGCAAAGAAGTCCCAGCTTAAGTACTTAAGTACCCCTGACCCTGTGTGTTCCCCCTGCCCCAGAACATCCACTCTTGTTTCAAGCCAGGCTCAGATTTGTCTGGTGACTCCCCTGATTCAGTGACCGAATTATTCGGGTCACTTTGCTCTGCATTTGTTTTGTTGGCACAGAGGGAAGATGCATGGATGAGCGCATAAGCAGTTGTGGGGGCAGAAACACTACTTTTGGAGTTACACTGGTTTGGAGTCTTCATTGGACTGTTTGACCCAGCATGGTGGGGCTGCCCCAAACTGAACCTGTGTAAGTCACATAGCTGCATACACACAGAGCTAATTTGGGTTATGGAGAAGTCCACGGAGCACCGGAATTGGTGGAAATGTTTGTGTGACTTGGCAAGTGGGAGGAAGGAGGGTCTCCCTCTCCTGGAAGCAGCTGAGCTTTTATATTATCTCTGTGACTGCTGAACAGTGGAGTTGTTGCAGTGACTTGGGGGAATCGCACAGGCTTTGGGCTGCTGTGCTCAGCCTCACCCTGAGAGAGCCCCCAGTGGAGGACATGGCAGGGCAGAGGAGGAGGAGCTGGAGCTGCTGTATGATTTGGTCTTTGACACTCATTTTGTGCTGGTACTGGATTGCTTCTGTGCCTGGATTAGTATCCAAATTGACACAAAAATCATGTGGCTGCTCAAGAAAAAAGGGGAGTGTACAGGCCGAGCTGTTGGTGAGAGACTGGAGCCTGGGTTTGGGTCAGTTTTGGATCCAGGTCTGCTCTCCCAAACTCCATCCTGGGGCTGCAGTTCTGCAACAGTCTGGACTGACCTGAGTCAGTTTTGATACAGTCTTACAGCCTCTCCCTGCCACTATTTATCCGTGTCCTGTTCTGCACTGAGCTTATTCGCAGCACTAACTAACTGAAAAGAAACACTCAAAAAACATTTTTTGGGGGTCCAGTTTACTGAACCTCCAGATTCAGTAGTCTCAAGTCTTCTCAACAAGACTTGATTGTTCTGAATAGCTCCTTAAAGCTGTGCAAGTTTTCCTTCAGCTTGTATTTTGATCAGTCATTTTTATTCTGGTGATCCCATAGGAAAACTAGTTGCACAGTTTTGCTCTGCTCCCCAAATTCCACGGTCTGTTTACTTTTTGTAGGGTTATCAATAATGAAACCTTTGTTTTTTCTCTTGATACCTCTGATTTGTCCAGAAGAGCTGAGGCTGGGGTTTTGTTGGGGCTTTTTTGTGTCTTATATTTGCTTTAGGTCACTGTCTTGTTGAGGAAAACTTTCTTGGAGCTATTGTTAATAAAAAAAAAAAAAAAAAAAAAAAAAAAAAAAAAAAAAAAAAAAAAAAAAAAAAAAAAAAAGGCAAGCCAAAATGTAGGTGTTTGAGTACTTAAAAATAATTATTTTAAAAATCTATAAACTATATTTTAAAGGAGGTCCATTGCTTGTCTGTACTAATTGTTTGTGCTTCGGTTGTTGAATGGTGCTTCTGAATGTTATTGACATGCAAATAATGCTCAGAAAGTGTTAATAGGTTTAATAAATTTAGAACCAAGTAAATGAAACTTGAATTTTCATTTTTAAGAGTACTGTTGTAATGAAATGCCCGATACCTCAGTGAAAGGTACCAAATGTAATTGAGCTATGTTTTGGTATTTGAGGAAATGTGCTTGTCAAATTACCATAATAGAATTGCTAAAGGCAGTGTGATTTAAAGAGTAGTGATGTTATTAATAAAGGCTTAAAGCAGCATTGTGGTCATTTATATTGAAATACAAAAGGTCCCTTGGAAACTTTAATTATGCTGGTAAACTTCACAGTTGTAGGTAAACCTCAAGTCCTTAGTGGTCCAGGTGTAGTGTTAGATTTTGATGGCAGAACTCTGTAGGAAGAGTTTTGAAGTATATAGTGGTGTAAGTATATTTGAGTGTTTTATTGAATGGGAAGATAGTATTCATCTCTGCCTTTTCTCCCTCAGTTCCTAAAGGACTTGTCAATATGAATCTGATGTAGAAAGCAGTGAGAACAAATCACATCAGAAGATATATTGAATACCACATTGATGGTTAGTGGTGCAGCTTTTGCTTCTTTCAGGTTTTCTGTTGGCATTATCTGCTGAGATGTTCATGGGAAAAGGAATCCTCACTGTTTCTGGCTTTTGGAAAAGCCAGAAACAGCTTTCCATGTCTGGAAAGCTGGCTTTGGGTACTGGGAGAAGGAGTCAGAGTCACAGAAATCAGGTTGGAAGGGACCTCAGTGGGTCCTCTGGCCCAACCTCCCTGCTCAGGCAGGGCCATCCCAGAGCACGTGGCACAGGACTGTGTCCAGACAGATCCTGAATAGCTGCAGTGAGGGAGACTCCACACCTTCCCTGGGCAGCCTGTTCCAGTGCTCAGTCCCCCACACAGTAAAGTTCTTCCTTATATTCATGTGGAATTTCTGTGCATCTGTTTCTTCCCATTGCCTCTTGTCTATGGAATAGTGGCTGAAGAAGCACACTTGCAGTCTTCAAGTTTGTCATTTGGCTGATACTGGAAAATAGAGGCAGCAGTAGACTGAGACAAAGGTTTTCTTGCTCATTGGGCTGAGGAGCCCAAACAAACAATGATTTTTTACCAGAATTGTGCTATGCACCATTAAATGGCCTGAATTTGCTTGAGGAGGACTTATGTTGCTGTCTGTATCAATCTCTTTTGGAGCAGAACAAAGTATTTTTTCTAATGTTTAGGACGGTTTGTGTATCATTCTGTGGCCACATTGCTTCTTACCTTTGCAGTTGTACCTTCCTTGTCATTGCTGTTTTTGGTTAAGCAGAACATGTTAGCCCAGGCAGTACTCACCTTGCTCAAATGGCCCTTGCGAAAGATGGGTTTCCTTCTCCATGCAGAGAACGCCTTTCCTTCAGCCCACTGTGGCTGCTGTACCTGGTGATTGTCAGAAAATACCACAGTAAGCATTTCCCCCAGACTGCTGGATACAATACAGGATTCACCTACAGTCGGACGTCTTGGTAATTTCATTCACCTGTACTGCTTTTGAGCTGTAGCACAGCATGGACTTCAGTCCTGGTGTACAGACACCAAGACCGAATTTCATGTAAGCTTTTTATGTCGTTTATGTTCTAATGCTTTTCGCTACCAATGTTACAAAAACATGGCAGAATCAGGGTTAGTTATAGAACCCTGTAAAGGTTGAGAAGTAAGATAAAGTTTGAGAGTGGATTTGTCATTAAGTGTTTATGTCAGAGTCAGTGGCAGATCTTCACAGAGTTGCTCTTCTGACAGAATTTCAGGTAGGATGCTTAAAAAGGAAGTTTAAAGGGGTTGTTTGGTTGTTTTTGAGGTTTTGTTGGGTTGGGTTTTTTTTCAGATGTATGTTATCATAAACTTACATGTGTAGGTTATCAGGCAAGCTCGGTGAAATGAAAAAAAAAGCCTATCCAAGGGTGTTTTGGCAGTACCTTGAAAAAGAGCTGGGTCTACCTATAGTTGAATGAATAGAATTAATCTTGGGGTTAAAGAAAGTCCCTTCTATTACTGGCAGCAAGAAAATTCTTTGTCCACTGAAACCATCTCAATTCTTTTTCTTGATATTGATGTAGTAATTGAGCCAGCTTTTGCTCAGTGTGATTCTGTTACACTTTGTTTATAGTCTTTACTGCCTTTCTGTAACAATTTTAAAAGGTTCTAAAACCTGTCAGTTGCTGGGTGATAAGTTCTAGTAAGATGCTTTTAGCCAATGAGTCTGTTAATATACAACATGCTTGTCTTTACTTTCCCTAATTTGCCTCAATTTTCTGTATCTTTGTAAATAACTTAATTACTAATCATCTGGCCATAAGTATTTCTTTAGGTAGTTGGATCACATAGGTGTCTAATAGAAATCTAGTCATTTACTTACTCTTACCTGATAAAAAGCAGAATTTCTACAAAAGACAGAATTTCAAACATCTATTAGTTTATTGTGACTTTCTTCCACCAGATTGAAATGTGTGTTGCAATGGCCTGATACCAGCTGTGAGCAGAGCATTGGTTTTTTTTTATAATTACAGTAAAGTGAAAAGGCACAATTTATTTCTTTGTGAGGAAGCAGTAGGGAGGAGGGTGAATTAAAATCAAGAGAATGAATTCCTAATGTGTAAATGCAATTGTAAAATAATTGTGTAAATCAGATCGTATCCTGCAAGTTATACAGAGTGAGACACAACTGTGTACAAAAACATGATTAGCTTTCTTATAATTATGTATGCAAAAGACATTGAGACTTCAGACAAAAACTAGCATTTGCTTTGCTAGACATTTGTGTACTGCAAAATTGCAACTCTACTTGTGACCCCACTTAGTATTGGCATGTTGAACCAGGTGTGTTGTGACTGGTTTGTTTTGTAATATAGAAAAGTAAGACTGGTAGCCTGGGTCCTCCAGGTCATCATTGAGGGTTTCTTGAGCTCTGATTTTTGAATAAAGATGTAACATCTTTCCCCGAACCTCATTGCAAAAATGTCTGTTTTCTGATTAGTTTTTTTCTTCTATTCTTCCAAACTCTGCTCATCTTTAGTTCTTGGAGGATGCATGTAAAATGGTCTTTGCTGTAGACTTCCCAGTAAGTTCTGGGATTTATGTATTAGGAGACAGAATCTCAGTTGGATACGTATTTGAAAATACTCTGGGTCTGGAGTCACACAGCTCTGGACATGTTTACCCACATGTGCATATACTTCTACAGGTATATCTGTTGGTATAGTCCAGCTCTTAAAAATGTGCTGTCATTAGCAATTTATCAGCTCCAGAATTCTGTCCTTGCTGCCGGATGCCATTGTAAATTGTAGGACAGTACTTCACCTGTTCACATTTCTGTGTACTGGTGCTAATGAACAGCTTTTCTTTCTTCCTGATGCAAATGCATATTGCTGTCTTTCCTCCCACCTTTCCCCACTTTTTCTTTGGAGGGGGTGGGGGTAAGGCTGTGTTTCAGTTCTCTTTTACTACTATTATTATTATTGTTGGGGCATTATTACTATTTTTTGTTAAACTTTGTGTCTTGAAAACAGTTTCCCAGTAAGTTCTAATCATGTTTGTTTTACTTCCAGTAGGACTTGGAACTGAATTTATTCATCCACTTCTCCAAGCCTTTTGAAAAGTGACTAAATGCAACTGAGTCAGATTGTCTGTGGGTATGAAGTGGCTGGGAGAATCCAAGAACATGGTAGTGAATGGCCGGAGAAGTGGAAGCAAGTCATCTAATGACCACGCACAGACCAAATTGCAGCATGCAGGAAAGGAGAATCCAAAGACGGGCAAAAATGGAGTTGAGAGAAGATCAAGCAGATGTATGTACATGTTTCTGCTGCTTAGTGCTATGATTTACTTCCTAGTTTGCCAGCCAGGCTTCTGTCTTACCTTAATTCATGAGAGAGGTCTGCAGTCAGCATGGAGCTAACATCAGAAATATTAGTTATGTAGATATTTTCTGGATGTGTTAACTCCCTTCAGGAATATAGATTTCTTCAGATCACTTTAAAAGTCAAGTAAGAATAACTGGGTGTAAATTAATTTTGAACTTTTGTAATTATAAAATGCATGATTGGCACTAAGTGACAACTAGTATGATTTGAAGTGGATAATGTAATTTGAAGTACTTGCCCAGCTTTCAGTGAATACACATGTAGAAGTAAGCCCCATTTTTTAATCAAGTCACTTATATCGATAGCCACTCTGCAGTGGTTTTAAGGAATATGGATTCTTATTTTTGCTATTGGTCTGGGATGAAGGATTAAATGCAAATTAGTCCTTTATTCAGATGTCCTTTACAGTCCTTTATTCTGCTTCTCCAGGTACTTCATCATCAATTGTCCTGTATTTTTTGCCTCCAGCCTGTGTGTCTTGTCTGTCCCTAAATGTAGCTGGGTTCTATCATGTCCCTTAAAAGATATCTAATTTGTGCTCTCTTATTTGCAGGTAGTGGTGCTTCAGGATTTGAGGGACAAAGTCGTTATGTGCCTTCCTCTGGAATGTCTGCCAAGGAACTCTGTGAAAATGATGACCTAGCAACTAGTTTGGTTCTTGATCCCTATTTAGGTTTTCAGACACACAAAATGAATACTAGGTAACTTGTCTTTATTTTTCTAGAAAAGAATTCATCTTCTTAGTTGATGTAAATCAGCAAAAACATGGAATTTTGTGCATGTTATAACAAAGTGAAAGAATGCAAATTTGTGAGTAGCTTCTGCCTTTAAAAGGGTGTTGCATGTGAGTCTGGAGCTCAGCACTACAAATGCAGCTGCCCACAGTGCTCCATCATAGGGCTTTCCATTAGTCTTGTGTATTTGTGCTGTAGAACAGGTTGGTAATAGGCATCATTTTCTAGCTTAAACACTTAACTAATTGTAAGTTTGAAACCAGTAGTCATTTGAAATTATTCAAAGGCAGAAGCCGGTGTTTGTTAACTTTTCTGTTTATTCCATGTGCCTCGATGCTTTATTTCTCCTTCCTTATTCTTAAACATCAGAAGATGTAGCTCCTGAGCACTTCAGTGTTGGTGCTACTTGATCTGAAGTTCTTGCAGACCCCTGCTGAAGGAATTGCTACTCAGACTTGTCTGTGTGGATAAGATAAATGAGTGTGCCAGCTGGAAACTTGCTTCCCAGAGTTGCACCTACTTTTGCACTGTTACACATCTGTCTGAATGCTTTGAATTGTGAATACTGTGGTCTCAGGGTTTAGCTGTTTGTGCTTCTCCCTGTTACCGATGTATCACTGATAACTGTGTTCTATAGATCTCTCTTAAGCTTGTCTGCATGCAAGATCTGTATTGATACCTTAATGAGGAAACTGTATATAAATTACAAGTTTCTAAGGACAGGAATTGTGTGCTTACTACTGTGCAATAATAAGAGCTGGAGTTTCCTGGCAGCACATCATGAGAAACAGACCCTCAGCCCTTCAAACTGTTGCTGTGACTATTTTTAAAGGACATTTCACCTGTGCAGCACAGTCACATACACACAGTATCAGTTAAGCAAATTGTATGTATGCAACAAACTGCTTGAGTCAATAATGACTGCTAGATGAATTGGTGCTGTCACATTACATAAATAGCTGCTGGTATAGCCTGACAGTATCAGCTGCACATGAAATTGCAGCAGTGTGGTCCTAATAATTGTAAAGACTTACCCCAAAGAGATCTTTCCTTTTTGCTGGGGAGTGCAACATCCTCCTTTAAGAAGGATGTTGGAGTTTTTCCTGTTCCCTCCCTGCTATTGATTACAGTAGCACATTGTCCAGGTATGTATCCTTACAGTTCAGTCAGTTCAGTTTGAAGTGTCTTTGTATTTTCATTAGTTAATCAAGCTAAGAATATATGTTGAAATGAATTTTTTGTTCTGTTGCATGAACCTGTCTGCAGGTTATGCACAGGTTGTTAGGTCTTACACTTTTTGCTGTGGAAATGATATAGTCGTTGTTTAATGACTACATGGTTGTCATAGCTGGAGAAGCTACTTTTGTGAATGTTGTTTTATGTTGATAGGTTGTCAACTAAAATACTTATTTAATTACTATTTTGAACCAAAAGGCTACACACAAAGGCCATTATCATGTATTTCTTCCTTTCTCAGACTTGGAGAACAGTTACAGGCAGTCTTCAAGGACAGTAGTTAATAATCTTGGAGCACTATGGGAAATACTTAGGTGAGGCTTACATCTCCTATCAGATGTACACCTTCTCCCTCTATCATATTGTCCGATTGAGAAAGTTTCTGATGTTGTAATAATTAAAGTCCCAGGCATCAGCATAGTTCTTGATTATGTTTTGGGGGCAGTGATGACACCTCCTTGTTACTGTGGCTGTGATGCTTAGATTATCTTTTTCCATTTAGTAAACTGTAGTCTTTCTAAAACTCCTTACTGTTATTTTAATGGCTTTGAGGGAAGGTGGGGGGAAAGCAGGTGTGAAAAAACTATACTGCTTCCAAAATGCCAAGTGCCAGTACCCAAATATTACAATGTAGTAGAATTGAAGATTTGCAGCTTATGTTTGGGCATCTTCTGCTTCAGTGCCATGGAGTCATATTAGTTACGTAGTTTGTGTATGGAGATACACTTAAAATAAAACAGCCAGTTATGGTGGCAAGCAAAGATTTCCTGTTCCCTTGTTCTGATTTGTTTGAAGATGCCCTATGAAAGTGTCTGTGCCACTGTTCTGCTGTGCTGTGTTGGAAACATGTAAGAGATTTGTATTTTTGCAGCCCATTGTGAGTTGATGATCACTTACTGAAGTTCTTCCCCTTACCTTGGAAGCCAGGTCTGTACTTTTGTATGCCATGAGTGTCTTCTCTGTGAGCACTTTTTCTACTTAATTATTCCAGGTGAAGAGTTTGTAAATTTGATCTATCTAGAGTATTTTGATTAAAGAAAATACCCCTCATAGTAAAGTATCTAGGTTGATGTTGAAATTTACTTGTTTTCCATCGTCTTTATATTGAGTTAATAATCTTACAGTAGGATGCTAAGAACATGACTGTTACTTTACTTGCTGTGTTTTTGTGTTTTGGTTTGGAGGTTTTTTCTGAGTGTACAAAACTAAAGTCCTGCAGTTTGTGAATGCCCACCATCTTGGGAATAGGGTTGTTGGCTCTGTAAACTGTCAAATCAGGAATGTCTGAAAGAACTGAAGACTGTTTCTTAAAAGCTTACAACTGAATCCCCTAATGTGTTTGTCCAGTGTTCCTCTAAAATGTCTTGTCACTAGGGATTTGAAGGACAGTATAACAATGTAGCTCTGGAAATATCCTCAGTGGCTTTACCCAAAAGTATTTTTTGCATCCACTTGGATTTCCAAGAGAAAGCAGGATGTTTTCACAGCTTCCAACCTTTTTTACAGGCCCAGTTGTCATTCTTTCCTCAATTTTGTAGCTCTTATCTCAACAGAAGAGCAGCTTAGCAGTTAATAAAAGAAACCCCATGTCTTAAAAAGTATGTTCTTGTCAAGTATTGCTGTTCTTAGAGATTTTGTTTCTTCTTGTACAAATCCTGTTATATCAGCCTTTGTTTGTCTGTTGTGGTAAAAACAAAACTCATTTTGCAAGCTACATTTCCTGGGTTGAAGGTTGACAAACACTTGAGATTAAAACTGACACTTGTAAAATGCTAAGTGAGTTCTTGCCTGTCTTGCCATCTCTTATTTTTGGGTGCTTTTCCCTAGGCTGAGCGCTGAATCTTAAAGTCATATGCCTTAGTGGCTAATCTGCTCTTCATGCTATCTTGCATATCAAAGTGTTACTGTTTAAACCTTAAGCCAGACTCCAGATCATGTTGCTGCTGTTAGCAGTCAGTGTTGTTTCCTGGGTCCCTAAAGCACCAGCATCATGCTAGGGAATACTGAGAGCACTTCCAGTGTGTCTCCAAATCTGCAGGTGGTTTAGGAAGTCAGATATGTTGTGGTCTGTTTGCTGCTTTTAGTGAAGTTACAAACAGGTGTATGGTGTGGGTGGTTTTGTGTGATTACATAGGACTAAAGGACAAAGCTTTAAGAATTTCCATGTTTTCCATTGGAAACATTAAGTGCTTGGGGATGATATGCAGGAAGCTGCTTCGTCCCTTAGAGTCACCACTAGGCAGTAGAGACAAAATGCACAAAGCAGTTTCATTGCATTTATGAGCCTGTGCTGAATCTCCTCTGCGTTCTTTAGGTCATTTCCGTATTATAATTGAAGGGTTCATTATTCATCTTGAGTGAGGTCTGGAGGCTGAAAAAGTGATGTGGGTTCTGCTAAATAAGATTATGTGGCCATACAGTTCAGCTTCAGTGTTGTAGTGCTATGGAGATACTGGATTAAAGGTATACAACTCTTATGTAGTGATAACCTGTTTCAAAGTGAAACTTTTACGTTCTTCAGACCTTGGTGTCTGTGTACGTCACAAAATTGTTTTGATTGGCTTTTGCATAAAATCAGATTTTTTAATTTTTTCTAGATTTTTTTTACTGATACCTTAATTCAGTAAAGTCCTTTACCTTGCTCCTGATTGTCTTCCTTCCTTGTATATAAATCACACAGTGATTACATTGGAACCAACTGTTTTGCTGTTCCTAAATGATTTTAATTTTAAAAAAAATCACTACCAAAAAAACACGCTAAACCATGCCCTGCCCCTCAAACCAATACCACCTTACTTTTACAGTTTTCTTATTTGTACTTTTAGCTTCAGCAAAAAGTTTTACATCTTCAAAACATGGAATGGCTTGCATCCATTGGTCATGTTACCTGCTGAATTAAATTTACGATTTGGAGTGTCAGAATAGGATTAGAGGCAAGTGTTAGGTTGTTGATTTGGGGGGTTTCTTGTGTCCCCCATATTTATTTTTTAAAAGTACTTCTTTGCTAAATTGTGAGAATTTTATTTATTTCTATTCTCAACTATATTGGTGTTATGACTGCACTGGTGTGTATTTAGTGTCAGTTCAAGACATTTAAGTAATGTGGATTACTTTCTTCATTAAAAGTGCTGTTTTGAATTTGGCCTTTAAAGAACTTTAGTTTTTTTCTGTATGAAAACAATGGCAATAAATGCTGAACAAGTTGATCATAACTTGTATAATTAATTTTGAGGAAAAAATACACTACAGGGTTGGGCAGGGAGGAAGCCAAAATGTATGTTAATTAAGTTGTTTATGCTTATTTTAAATAGATGATTTTCAACTCTTGTTCTGCTGTCTTGAATGCTTAACAGGCTTGTAGTTTCAGATTAGTGCTCAATCTCTGGTTGGTACTAGGTGAGCATAAACTTGCTGTTTTCCAGAGCAGCTTAAACAGAAATACCATCCAGACAAGGTGCCTGTTGTTAAAAGGCTAATGGGTTGATTTGGTTTTGATAAATTCACTCTTCTTGTTGTTCCCTAGTCAGAAGTTGAGAAACAAGGTTTGGAAGTTAAACTCTTTATCATGCACTGGTTTGCTGTGTGGAGTTCCATACTGGATCTCTTGCAGGATCAATTTATCCTTTTTGTTCAAACTCACTGCTCTCAGTGACTGAAACTGAGCAAGGTACTGTGCTTCTGAACTTACCAGAAACTCTCCTTTAACTTCCTTTATAGGCAAGCATCTCACTGACCTTTGGCTTTATACCTTGGAGTTCCAAGAGTCTTTAAGTACTCCTGAGGTAAGAGAAACTGGAGAGAGAAAGAGCTTTGCTTCCCCAAGCCATTTTCCTACGTCTTCCTTGTTGAGACCATGTCAGTTTGCCCTTAATTGGGATGAGATCATCTTCTATCTGATTTTGAAACTGTAGTAGCCACACCTTTATCAGATCTTGTTGACTACTAAAAAAAAAGTATTTTCTAGGGAAGTGTGAAAAGTTTCTGTTCTGCAGATTGTCAGGAAGAAGGGCTGATATTATTTCTTTAAAGATTCTGTTGTATCTGAGGTTTTCATTCTTTGCTCACTTCTAACACCTGAGTGTCTTGCAGCAATCTTCCTGTCCCATGAGACCTGATCTGTGAAGCTGCTTGTAGATTCTGTGCCTGTGAGCAGATTCAAACACCAATGTGTCTTGTTCAGTTTCCATGATAGAATTTAATACGCGTACTGTTCAGAGGAGGAAACCAAAAGTCTGGATAAACAATTCTGATTTTAATTGCCTTTTTTTTTCAGAGACTGGGTTGGCTGGTTTGTTCTGTTGGTTTCCTTGTGCTCTTTCTATCTCTCTTCTTTGAACTAGTTACTTGTTTTACTGATACTTAAAAGTTAGTTTCTTTGTTTCATTTTATATGTATACATTTAGCTGTGGGGCCTTTTCGGGCTCTCTTCATGGTGGAGGCTCAGAAACAGTGTGTAGATTCTTCCAGCAGATGTGTAGGTTTTTGGGGGTTTTTTTGATCTCATGTGTAAATGTGGAAGCCATGTAACACCAAAATGGTAGTATGCAAGGTTGCTTCTCAAAATCAATTAGCATTTTGGTTGAAAAAAAAAATGAATAAACTAATTAATTACACTCCTGGGACAAGTGAGGTATCTATCAGCAGACCCAAATTCTTCAGGAACATTGGACTTCTAGGCTTTCTTGGCTTCTTCAGTGTCTCAAATGAGAAGGTACTTTTTAAAGTATATATGAAGATTCACCTGTGAAAGACTAAAGCTTTCATGAGGAGTCTGGACTGTAGTATTCTGAATTTGTTTATAAACTTCATATGCTCTCAGTGCAATTTACATGTGCTGTTGAACTGTGAACAGCCCTCTAACTCAGGCTCAGGGTGCACAGTGTCATTCTGTTTCATCTGTTTGGGAAGCCTTGGAGTGAAGTGTTGAACATAATGTTGGTTTCCAGCATCTTTTTATGCACTTGTGGATACTTCTTGCTTGTTTGGATTCCTGTTTGTCTTTTCTCATTATCTCTGTCTTGTCACGATTTAAGAACAACATTTTGATAGAGGTGCTGCAGAGAGTCCTTAGTATTAATTTTTGAGCCTCTGGGTGCAGAGTCATGTTCTTTGAAAAACCCAGTTCCCATTTGGAATACTGTCATGCAGTCCAGCATTCATCTGACCTTGTAATGTCTTGGGGGTTTTACAATCTCTTCTTGTTTCCAGCCATGTTTTTGGTCCTTGAAGGGCTTAGGCATACACTAAATATTTTACTTTGTATGAATGGTGTTACAAAAGTTTCTGCTAATCACTTAAATGAATTCCACCAGCAGTGTGGTGCCTGAGACAAGAATCCATAGAGACACCTGCTGAATGTGATCCAGGGAGGTATGCCAGTGACTTTCAAGGGCTGGGGCGAGGTTCCAAGATACCTAAGGTCAGGTAGACATCGAGTCAGCCTCTGAGAATAATGTGTTGTGAAACACCTAAAATACAAGCACTTGGGGCTGTAGAATGTGCTTTGAATTGCCAGAAAATGTAGGGTGTTGATTCTTTTTCTGTAGGTCTTGAGAGCTGCTGTTAAGCTTAGGATCTTCCATCCTTTTGTATCTGTATTTCTTTTCCTCACTGGTGGTTCAGTTGGAATACTGCTTTCTTAGTATTTGAAGCCTTTTGATGATAAATAAGTATTATGATGTCTGTCAGCACATATATTGCCTGTCTCGGGTGTTAATGCAATTTTGCTTATGGTGGCTTTTCTACCTATCTGTGCTCTTGCAGGTCACTTAGCTAAAAAATGGTGTATTTCAACATGTAAATACAGTGTAAGGGAGAGGGCAGTCATTCATGTAGCCCAGCAAAAACAGACATAGCTGAAGACCAATTTTATCTGGAAATCCTGTGGGTTTTTCCCTTATGTGATGTTTGCAGAAAGAGGTGTAAGCAACATATTACCGTTACTCATTTGTGGAAATTGGTGAGCTCTCTAGTTCTCCTTGTGTAAGTTCAGTTAGCTCCTTGCTGGGAAAGTTGTTTCTGGTTGAAACTGAAAGTGAATGCCAAGTCCTGTTCTGAAACTAGTCAGGTTCAGTTTAGACTGTGTGATTTTAAATTCCCTTCATGTAGAGGAAATTCTGTGAGTTATGACTATCAAATCTGGGCAAAGTCTTTCTGGTTTTGGGAGAGCAGAGATATTTTTATGTGTGACTGGCAAGTTGAGGAAGACTTTGGTGTGCTGTAGAACAAAAATAATGGTTCTGTCATCTGTAGTCTGAGAGGAGTTTTCTTGCATGGTAAGGTCTCTTATTAGGTAGTTAGCTTTTTGGGGTGACAATACAAGTATATTCTTTAATAAAGAACTTGATTTGAAACTTTGTGGCATGGTGTGTGCTACAGTTGTAAGCAGGCATCTGTTTCTTGACTGATTCCTGCTGTCATGTTCAATGTCATATCCCAGCCAGAAGAGAACTGAACCTGATGTCTGCTCAGAACTCCTTACTGTGCTATGTCCTCTGAAAGCCCACAGGTTTATGTTGATAAATTTTGCTGGATTCAAAAAGGTGTAAAAGTGTGCTTAAGTTATTATGTCACAAGAAGTTTTTCAGATGGAGATTTGAGAAATTTATACAAGCAGTAGCATGAAACGCTGATAACCTGCTGAAAGTGATTCTGCTCTTAGGAGATCTGTCTTCATTGTATCAGGTGCATAAATACAGCATCTTCCTTCTAAGGAAGGAAATTGAATCCTCATGGTTGTTGCTTATTTCTGATTAGACTTTGAGTATTTTATGAAGTGAAACAAAATCAGGAGGTAACACTTTTTTGTCTCCTTTATACAAGTGGCATGGAAGAGGCAAATCTTACATGGTCATTTAAAATAAGTTACTTGCAACATTCAGCGTTCTAAGGTGATAATAAGCCAGTTCATATGAAGATTTAAAAAACAGGGTATCAGTGAGGAAGTTGAGGTTTACTTCCATCAATTTCAAGAATTTCCCCCCCACACCTTGTTTACTTTTGTAATGAAATACAGATTTCATTTGGCAAGTAAGAGGAAATAAAATCAGAGTAGTAATGCACTTCCAGCAACAAGTAACAGGACTTACTCTTACACATGTGCTGAAAAGTTCTTAGTTTGTTTAGCACTTCTGTCATACTGTGTGTAAGCAGAACAGATGTAAAAAGAGCTGCAGAAAATTCTTTCTCATGATCCTGGGAAATTTTTAGCTTTGTGAAGAGTCCCCTGGGGTGTGGCACGCGTTTAAAAATACCCACACCCCACCTCTGCCCCAAAGCAGAGCATATATGGGTATGAGCTCAGTCAAAGGCAATGTATAGGGATTTGGCAAAATCTCTTAAGTGCTGCTTTCTCTCGGTGGTTTTGCAGCTCCAAAGTGGAGCTTCCACTTCTGGCAGTCATGCAGGTTTTTTTTCTGCTACTTTTTCCCACTGAAGATATAAAGGGTAGTTTTTCTTAAATCTAAAGCTTTGAGAAGAAGGCAGAATTCTCTGCTAATGTACAGGTGTTTGTTTTCATATTTACATGCCCAAGAGTTCCTGTTTGGGGGGAAAAATTCTTACAATTGCACTAACTTTTGGAACCTTAATCTTCCACAGATACAGCATCTGCTATGTGTTAGTATTTGTAGATACTTCTTGTGTTTTATATGAATGCACATGTTAAGTCTGCAATCCACATAAACCCATGTAGTGAATTTATCAGTATAAAAAGGCTTTGGATTTGGCAAAAGTTGGTCAGTGTTTTATGCAGGAAGTTAAACATTTCTATGGGTAGCATAAAGAACTGTGTGCTGTAACTGAGGAAGAATTGAGAATGACTGATGGTGGACTGGAATAGCTTTATTTTTTATTTCAGATTTCGACCTATTAAAGGAAGGCAAGAAGAACTCAAAGAGGTGATTGAACGTTTTAAGAAAGATGAGCACTTAGAAAAAGCCTTCAAGTCCTTGACGTCAGGTGACTGGGCCCGGCACTATTTTCTTAACAAGAACAAAATGCAGGAAAGGTTGTTCAAGGAACATGTAGGTGTATTTGTAATTAATGTGCTTTTTCAGATGGGTGAAAGGCAAAGAACAAGTAAAAATTTATTAAGAATGTAGCAGTAATAAAGCAATTGACTGCTCTGTTATATGTTGTTTTACTGTTTTTTTTAAGAGAAACTTCCTTTGTTTTTTAAAGCCTAACTAGACACACCCTTCCTTTTTTTTTCTTGTTAACCTGCATTACCTTTTATTAATAGAGTGTAGAAAGGAAGGGGTTTTTTCCCCTTCAAAATTTGTTTGTATTGTGGTTTGTTTGGGGGGGTTTGTGTTTGTTTTAGGTTTTTTTTTACTAACAACTGTTGTAATTCAAATTGGGTGACAAAGGAAGATAAGGGTAAAGGGAGTAGCCTTGTTACCTCAAAATGCCCCAGTTGTTATGGGTATAGGGGCTATACCCATAAGGGTATAGGGGCTATACCTATAAGGATTGTTCCTCCTCCAATTCCCAGGCCCCAAATCCATTTTGTATGTAGCATAACAGTTTTTGATTCTCAAAGTTCAAAGCCAAAAAAATCATAATACTGTTTACTTAAAAAAAAAAGATGCTTCTTCAGGATTTAATCTATTGTTTCCGGCTACAACCAAAAAGAATGTGGCCTACTTTAAAATTACCAAATCTAGTAATGCAAGAAAGAGTTAGCAGAAGAAGTTCTGCTTTGTTACAGTGATTTCATTAGTTGGACCAATTTTGTATCACTCCAGGTATCTTTGATTATCCAAAGAGTTTAAGAAAATTAAAGATACCTGTGTGAGGATTCCTACAAGTCACTGTGAAGAAATAAGATCAACATAATATGGATATCTTAAATGCATAGAAACTCATTTCAGCAGATAGCATCCTGCTTCAGTATCCATGTTGTGTGTGGTTTTGTACTGTTCACTTTCATTATTTATATAAGAAGTTCCTCACTGCTTCCATTTTGTCTGTAACAGACAAGTACTGCGTTTTTTCATTGCAGGTATTTATTTATTTACGAATGTTTGCAACTGACAGTGGGTTTGAGATACTGCCTTGTAATCGGTATTCTTCTGAGCAAAATGGAGCCAAAATTGTTGCAACAAAAGAATGGTAAGAAATACAGTTTACTGTTGTGTTCTGTTTCTGTCAATCATTTGAAAGAATCTATAAAATTATATTAAAAAGTGTGGTTTAGAATTAAAACTGCAACCAGTGAAATGGCTATTTGTATTGTTACTTGAAAATTTAATTTTCTGTCTGTTTTTGCTAAGTACATAATACAGGATCCATGCCTCTGGAAGGTAGTCCTATGTATGTTTGGATTTATGCATATAGTCTTCATTATACTTTTTTTTTTTTAATCTTGTTTTCAGTCAGTTTTTCTCTACTCAGGAGCTGTTAGACTTCCACAAGAAACATGACATTATGGCAGATTTTTTATACAGCAAATAACTGTGGGGAAAATGAGGTTTTTGCCTTTTTTAAACGGGTGTTGTTTGTGTATTTTGATTGTGCAAGATGAATCTCTCCTGGAAGCACAAGGCTGGAACCCCAGTGTGCTCCATCTCATTCTGGCACATCTGAGTTTCATTATAAGCATGTGTGTGACAGCACCAGCAGATTTTACCTTAATTCAGATTTTAAAATCACTTCAAATGTAGACACCAATTGTATGAGGTACATACAATTCCATAACACGTGGAGGTTATGTTTGTTCATGTTGGGATTGAGTGGCCAGACATCCTGCTAGTGGCAACACAATCTCCACCTGTTGTAGAGGAAGCTTTAAATACACTGAGGACAGTTTCCAGCTCTTCATGACCAGAGCTGAGAGTTCCACAATCCTGATACAACCCAAAAAATACTGATTGGGTTTTGGGGTTTTTTGGGTTGGTTTGTTTGTTTGGGGTTGTTTTTGTTGTTGTTGCTGTTGTTTGAATTCACCCCTTGGCTGATTCTTTGGGGTAGAAGCTTTGCATGTGGTTGTTTTGAAAGCAGCCTGAGAAGTGAGCAAGACAGGTGGGCTACATCTTAACCCTGCTGATACCTGGAAACGTATCAGGACTCCAAACTAGAGATTAGAGTTCTCAGCACTCTCTGTCAAAGGAGAAATTTGCTCTTAAACGGCTTCGCTTTTAGTTCGTGTCCTTCCTATACCTTTAGTATCTCCATGGTCATCTCTGTCAGAGTAATGTGGAATGGCCACTCTGAAGAGCAGTGGAAACAACGCCCACAAGAAAATGAAACTCTGTGCTCCTACTAGGCTGAGCATTCAGTGCCTCTGCACTGCTCTAGTCATGATGGCATATTGGCTGTCTGCACACAAAGGCTTCATGGTTTTGTTGATTTTTTTAAGTGTCATTCACCCTCCTCATTCAAGGACCAGCTTCATGCTGAAGAACTAGTCATGAGTGAGGAAAACATCTTGCTTGAATTCCAGCCTTTGTTGGAGTCACTTCTGGGCCTTATTTAAAAAGCTGTGGAGCTGTAAGCATTTTCATTTTGCTGGGTTTTCCTGGTCACAGGATGAAGTTTAGGAAACACAAGCAAGAGCAGCTGGAGGAAGTCAAAATTTCTCAAGTGGTGATGGGGAGGGAGTGTACACAAATGAAAAGATCTTGCTTTTGGTTTTAACAATTTCAGAAACTGAAGTAATCAACTCTTACAAGAAGCCTCAGGAAATTGTAGAAACAATGGTTGTAATTGTTTCTGATGTCAGATTTGATGTAATTGATTCTATAACAACTTTTCTTTCTGTGAAATTATTTTGTAATTTTGGCACATGTAGTCTTATTTCTGTTAATCTTTTTCCATTAAAGGAAACGAAATGATAAAATAGAATTACTTGTGGGCTGTATTGCTGAACTATCAGAAATGGAAGAAAACATGCTGCTGAGACATGGGGAAAATGATTTCAGTGTCATGTATTCCACACGAAAAAACTGTGCACAACTATGGCTTGGTCCTGCTGCATTTATCAATCATGGTGAGTAGTAAGTATACGAAGCATGTTGAAGAGCATGAGAAATTCAGAAGTGTTGAATGTGAGCCAAACAGCACAAGAACTTGGAGAAAAATGTCTGAATCTGGAATAGTATATTAATGTAGGACAAAATCATATTGGGGTTTTCCCAGCCAGAGCTAATCATCTTTGAAACTCGGAGATGGCTCTAGGAAGCGATGCTGTTTTCCTTGAAAGAGACTTTGGAACTAGCAGCTAAATTAGTGGAGCATATTTTGGGTTACCTTGAATTCCTTATGAACTCAGTCAACAGTAACACCTTCATTAGGTGAACTTCTTATGGCTCTTTGACCTTTTGCAGAAGTTTAGCTGATTGTGTTGTATTTGTGTACCAAAGGAAGAGCAGGTAGGATTGAAGATGAAACTGCTTACCCTAAAGAGGAGGGAAACTGGACATTTGTAATAGCATAGGCAAGAGCTCAGAAATGCAGCTATACCAAAGCAGGAGTCTTTTGATGTATGGCTTTGTGCATTACTAACTTAATTCCCAGTATTTAGTTGAGATTCTGCAGTCTTTGAAGTCAAAGTGAATCCTTATTTTAGATATCTACAACTATTCATGTTTCAGGTCTTATCCACAGTTAATTGACTTTATCTTTTGGACCTTTTTCAGATTGCAGACCTAACTGTAAGGTAAGCAAGAAATTATAAATAAATAAAGTACCCCACTTTTTATTTCTTTGTCCTTCCAACTTTTCTTCCCCAATTATGTTACTTTTATTTCTTACTCAGATACTGTGCTGCCTTAATGATTAACCTTTTTTTTCCCTTCCTGTCATCTGCTTCTCCAGTTCGTATCAACAGGCAGAGATACAGCATGTGTGAAAGCTCTAAGAGATATTGAACCTGGAGAAGAAATCTCTTGTTACTACGGAGATGGGTTTTTTGGAGAAAATAATGAATACTGCGAATGTTACACCTGTGAAAGGTATGCATTGATGTAAATGGCTTTCAAATGGAATTGGGCATATTCATGATCTATTTTGTGAAACTGAAAGTCCTTTATTATGAGTAATCAGATTTTTGGACACAAAATTATTGCTTCCTACCTGTTTGCTATAATGATTTTTCTGTGTTGTTACAGAATGGTGATGATTCCTGAGAACTCTGTGTTCTCTTAATCTGTTGATTCTCCATTCTGGAGATTAGCCCAAAATGAGACACAACAAAACAGGGGTGTAGATTCTTAAAAATATTTGTACCGAATAAAGTAGAATTGGAAGGAAAAGCAGTTGCAGCTTCTACAAGACCATTGTGAACTGACCCCCAACTTTTGCTCTTCTTTGCATTTGATAAAGCAAATTCCATTAATGTTTTATTTGTGGAGATGAAGTTCTCTTCTGCTGGGAATGGGCAAAGTAGTTTTTCACCCAGTGTTGTTAGATCTTGGGGGTTTGTGTATTTGTAATTATCTACTGGTTTGGACTGTATTTGTTTCTCTCTGTCCCTCATTCAATATTAGTTTTTCGCATGTGCTGTCCCAACCTGGTTTCTTCACATGAGCTGAAAGAATTCCATAGTTGATTTTTGCCATGTTGAAACTTCTCACTGTGAGCAGGGAGGCTCAGCATCATCTGAGAGAGCTTCACTCAGTTGCAAGAGGAGCTGCACAGAACTCACTGTTCTGTTTGATCTAACTGTAGGAGGGAAGACCCTATAAAGGACAAAATACTGCTCATATTGAGAAATAGCTTAGTGCACCTGCATATAAATAGTTTAATAATCCTACTTTCATTTTTATTGGCTACTTTGGTCACTAACAAATCTTGAAATTAAAGGGAAAACACTCTAGCATGGACCTCCAAGCTCATGTGATGTCAGATCATTCCAAGTGAAGGATGCAATCTCAGACTATCTTGAGAGCTGCTAGTAAAAAATGTACTTCCATCCTGGAGACTGTAAAGTGTTGAATAACTAGATACTAGAATTGTTCTTGCCTTGTGACATGGAGCAGTGTGGGGTTTTTCTCAAGTTCTTTTGATCATTGATTTCAGTGTAATATGGGCATACTTTCTTTTTAAGGACAAACTAGTTTTCTGTGTCTGAACGTTTTCATTAACTTGTTGGTTTTGCATTTTAAGTACATGAAAGTGTTATTTTTAAATCTAATGTTTGAGTCATTTTAGCTTTGGGAATCTACTTTTCAATTACAAAGCGGTAGTAGAGGCAGTCAGATAATACTTTATTTTGGGAGGAGTTAGTGAGGACTCATTTTGTGCTTGTTTCAAGACTGATGAGGCAACAGTCACTTTGTATACCACAAAAAATTAATAATTAAGTGTGTCAATTTTAACTAAGCTGTAAAGAGTGTTAATTTGCAATGTTAAAATGCTGGGATCTAAGGATCTGTGGGTATGTTTGGAGCAGTGGTAGATTTGGTGCAGTACAATTTGTTCCAAGCCTCGACAAGTCATCACCAGGAAGATTTGCATCTCTCTACATATGTCTATGTACTCTTCCTAGTGATCCTGCTGTTCTTGCTGGCCAGCTGAGACATTTAGGCACCCAGGATGACAGGTAGAGGACAAAACAGCCCACAAAATAGTAACAAGTTCTGTGGCTATTGGTATTGTTGATCCAGATACACCTGGGATCCAAACTACTGCATATGAAACAAAGCTCTAAGTTTACATTAAGATTTCTTAATACCTTGTGTCCTCTTTTTATTTGTAGACGTGGAACTGGTGCTTTTAAATCAAGAGTGGGATTGCCAGCACCTACTCCTGTGATTAACAGTAAATATGGACTGAGAGAAACAGACAAACGATTGAACAGACTTAAAAAGTTGGGTGACAGCAGCAAGAATTCAGATAGCCAGTCCGTCAGTTCTAACACTGATGCAGATACCACTCAGGAAAAAGGTAATGCAAGTAAGTAAGGAGAAGAGCTTAGAGTCATTTAAAGGCGTCACAAAAACATGGAAAACTTTCACAGTGATGGAATTCCTCTCTAAGTGTTGAAATGCTTTTCACATACTGGTCATTAAAACTTAATTTATTCAGGAATCTGAAGGTAATTTAAACAGCAAATTCATGGGTTTCCACAAGTGTTTGAAGAACAATAGGTGGTATGTTATTCTTTTGTTTTCCTTTTTTTAATATCAAAAGCAAATTTATAAACATGGCAGTTAAAATCCTGCCAATAATTTCTGTATTTCAAAATACAATAAAGTACCACAGGCAATAGTAGGGTTTAGGAAAGAAAACTTACATAGTTTGAATTCTTAGGAAAAGAATTTCTAAATAAATACTCCTAGTAGGTATTATTAAACAAATAGTTGTTTCCTTTAGAGGTCTTTTAAATTGGGCAGTTCTTCTCTTTCCACATCCAGAATTGATTGTTCAGACACCTCTTGTGCAGTGAAAGTGCACAGTTAGTAATTTCAGAAGAAATTGGAAGGCATTTTTCTTTGTAATCTTCCTGCAAGACTTCTCTCCATGGAGTAGGGAGTATGATTTATTTGCTTTCCTCACTTCCCCATCTCCACCAACCTCAGTATGGGCAAAATACAAATTATTTAAACTTTGATTTAACTGGTAAACAGATTTGGAGCTATGTAAAACACTGTGGTTCCATCTGTCTCCTGTTTGCTGCTGTGATAGTAAAGAAATGAAATGCAAAAAAACCATAAAAACCCAACCAACCAATGAAAAAAAAAACTTTAAAAAATGTCCCCAAATCTTTTTATTATTTCTGATTACCAGTATTTAGAGTTGCACCTCTGTTAAGCAGACAAAACTCCTTTGCATGCCACAGTAGGCAGTAGTTTCACCTGAAGCTGAAACCATTACATTAGATAAAGGTGTTTGGGGTTTTTTGTTCTTTCTCCATTAAAAAAACCCTGGAGATAATACTAGATCATGCTAACCATCAGGTTTTACTGGAATAATACTCAGCAAAAGCTGTGAATAATGTCAAATAGATTTTTTTTTTTCACTTGGTAGAAGAAGAAATTAAGTGAAAACACATCTTAGTATACTGGTGGTAGTAGGGGGAAGTGTATCTAGAAATGTTGATGTACTTGTGGCCTGTTTGGCAATTCCTTTCATGTGCTGAGTTGCACATTAAGCAGTCTCATTCCTTACTACATGCTATCTTGTCTCATGGATTAGTTGGAGGTGCCTCAAATAAATGAAATAACTGCAGTATTTGGGAGTGGGAAATTCAAGTTATAGTAGTGTCATAACAAAACTGCTTTTTTCTTTTTCAGCTAACAGAAAATCTTCAATTGGTGTAAAAAAGAACAGCAAAAATAGAACATTAACCAGACAGTCTATATCAAGAATTCCAGCATCATCAAACTCTACCTCATCTAAACTAACTCATATAAATAATTCCAGGGTACCAAAGAGACTGAAAAAGCCTGCAAAGCCTTTACTTTCAAAGATAAAGTTGAGAAATCAGTGCAAAAGGCCAGAGCAAAAGAATGCTTCTCGAAAGCTTGAAGTGGGAAATTTAGTTCTCAAAGAGCCTAAAGTAGTTTTGTATAAAAACTTGCCCATTAAAAAGGATAAAGAATTGGAGGGACCAGTCAAAGTTGCAGTCTCTAGCGGATGCTTAACGAGGCATGCAGCAAGAGAACATAAACTGAATTCTGTGAAAGGTGCTTATGAGCATGGTGGTATTGCACCCTGCACATACATCACGAGGAGGTCCATGAGAACAAGGATGAGTTTGAAGGAGACCTCTGACACAAAGCTTGAACCAAATACATTGGATAGCTATCAGAGTAACTTGACTGGAACACAATCGGACATTGCAGAGCAGCAGTCTCGTGCACTAAACAACAGCAATGTGGCTCATGGACCATCACATAAAGGAGAGGGTCGGTGCCAGAAAAGTGATGCAGGCACATCAAAAAAGAAATCTCGACAAGGAAAGCTTGTGAAACCATCTTCAAAGACAGAGGAAAATGATACTATGCACAACACGCCTGTGAAGGATGAAGTACCAGATCTGATTAGTTCTCATTCAGAACTTGAAGAGAGGAATAATGTGGTGGACACACCTGTTGGCTTTAAAGACTGTGTCCCTGGATCTGGTGGCTGCTCTGTAACAACTGACAATTTTAAAGCAAAAGACAGCTTTAGAACTGCAAAAAGTAAAAAGAAAAGACGAATCACGAGGTATGATGCACAACTTATCCTTGAAAATAGCTCTGGGATCCCTAAACTGACTCTTCGTAGGCGCCATGATAGCAGTAGCAAGGCAAATGATCAAGAGAGCGATGGAATGAATTCTTCAAAAATAAGCATAAAATTAAGTAAAGACCATGAAAAAGATAATAATTTATATGTAGCAAAGCTAAATAATGGGTTTAACTCAGGATCAGGCAATAGTTCAACAAAACTAAAAATACAGCTAAAACGAGAGGACGAAAACAGAGGTGCATATCCGGAGGACCTTCATGAAAATGGTGTGTGTTGTAGTGAAACTCTCTCCCTTTTGGAGTCAAGAATGGAAGTAGATGATTATGGTCACTATGAAGAGGAAACAGCAGATGAATCTTCATCAGAAGAGGATGATGAAGAGGAAGATGACTATGATGATGAATTTGATGACTTTATTCCTCTTCCTCCAGCGAAGAGATTAAGGCTTATTGTTGGCAAGGATTCAATAGATATTGATATTTCTTCCAGGAGGAGAGAAGATCAGTCTTTAAGGCTCAATGCATAAGCTTATAGGTCTTAAACTGACCTGTATGTTGTTTCTAAAAAAAAAAAAAATAATTAAAAAAAAATAATAGAAAACCCAACAAAAATTCCATTTGATTATTCCTCAACTAAAGAACTTTCTGAAAAACTTAGTGGCAGCACTTCTTTATTCACTTATCAGCGTAATATTGTAGAAAGTGTACAGCATACTGACTCTTCTTAAGTCTGATTTGTGCAGATTTTTATTGTACTTTTTAATAGCCTTCTTATGTGCAATTCCAAGTTAGAGGTAATGCTCTGTTGTAAAATAAAGGCTCAAGCAAAGTTACGAAATTGCATCAGATCTTTCCATGCAGGACAATGAGAATACAGTGTGGCTACAGAGTTATTTTTGATCAGTAGGAGCGTTAGTTTGCTCTTACCATATTTGACTAAACAATTTACAAAATCATAGTAGCAGCATATTAAGGTTTTCTAGTATATGTTAACATCACCAGCAATGATCTACAGCTTTCCAATTTATTTGCTAGATGGTTTTTCCCCCTTGGAGTTTGTCAGTTTTAACACTGTATGCTGTCCCAGACGTACTGTTTGTGGCCTTTGTTATAGTAGCAAACCGTTGGTTGGAAGTCAAATTTATTTCTTTAAAAAAAGAGAAAAAAATATGAAAAGGTGTTGACAATTTGCTGACTTTTTAGTACATTATATGTACAAGGGTAGCAGTATGCAGAATAAAGTTTGGATATGGTGTATTTATTGCTTGTTACGTAAATTAAACACCTTGTATTTAACACTTTTCAATACTTTTAGATAAAATTGTTCTTTGCAAGAATGATTGGTGCTTATTTTTTCAAGAATTTGCTGTGAAATAATGTGATTACGACGGGCAACATTTATCCAATGAACTGCAGCTATCCTAAATTGGTTCTTCATATTTTTCTGTTGCACTTGTAAAATGCTACAAGGAATTTAAAGAAAAATCTATTCACTTTAACTTATGATAGTTTTATCAAATTAAAAACAACTAAGTCACAGCTTTTGTTCTGTGGTAACCTAAGAATTGTTTGTCTTTTAAGAACCAGTTGTAAAAGAATGAAAAAATATGTATATGTTGTAAATATTTGTGTGTTGTGAGAAATTTTGTCATAAGAAATTGAGATAACTTGCCAGAAAGGTTTTTAAGTTTAGAAATACATCCATGCCAATAAAATAGGAAACTGTAAACCTAGTTTTAAACTCTGCATCAGTTGGAGTTCTTCGCTCATACATAATTCACTTAATACTTCAGAGTCTGCTTTATAACAATGAAGAGCATCAGGGCGATCTTTGGCTCTTTGGTTTTTAATAAAAGAATGCTAGGAAACTTCTGGGCACAATGGATTGTTTGTATGTATGAATCAGCTTTCTAAGCCATTTTTTCAAACAGGTCTGAAACATCAGAGTTGACATAACTGTGTATTGCTTTGGTCTGTAGCATTTGTGTTTCTACTTGACTGTGGATTAAGGTTTCAAGTTTTTGTATCTAGAGGTGTTGAAACATAAGTTTCATGCTAAAACAGGTGCTGTTGGGTCAGCTGAATCCACTGTTGGCTGCTCAGGATTTATGTCATGTCCAACTCTCTCTGCCCTAAAGATCAAGAGCTTGAGTTACATGGCCACTGTGTTACCCAGTGGTGAAAGCATTAGTGGAGAGAATTAAGTGTAGAATTGAACCTTATATTTGTACCATTGTCAGTCTTTGGGAGGGGCCTTGTGTCATGCCAGGGTGTGTATGTTTTTAGAATGGGGGTGGATCTCTCTGTGTAGTCCATGGCTCATACTGTCACACCTTGGCCTTCAGTTCAGGGAAGACTGCACAGATGCTTTGGTGAATATGGTCACAGCTCTGGTGATTGATCTTGTGGGGTCTTTAATTGTACTGTATCATAAAATGGGTTAAAGGAGATAGAGATGAGTTGTTAAGGGTTTGCCTTAAAGTCAGATGTGTCCAGGAAACAGCTGATGACAAATGGCATTAATACAGCTCTTCTAGAATTCACAGGTGCTGTGACTGGATGCTATGCTCTACAAGCATTTCTGGCTGTATCAGCAAAAGCTGAACAGTCTCTGCATACTTCTACCTGCAGCCCTTCTGTGCCCTGCTGCTTCTGCTTGCAGGTTCATACTCAGTGCTCCTCTGGCAGCCTTGGCAGATGTAGTGGTGGAGGGCTGGTTTGTAGAAATGTCATTCACCTGGATGTCTGAGGAAAAGGGGGGTCAATGCAGCAACTAAACAGTGTCCACCATTGTAGGTATTTATGACCAGTGTGCTCTAGAGCAAGGCTAGGGCTTCCTAAAACAGCATCAAGCAACAAGAGCAGATGATAAAACAGAAGAACTTGTAAGTGAATCATGCCCTTAGAGGAAAAAGCTGTTTTCCTGGAGTGGATGATCCTCCTAACTCGTAGTTCAGCCAGCCCCTTAATGAGAGCTGCTTTCCTTTTCCTTTAGTGTGAAGGTAAGTACAAGTAACTCTGGGCATCAGGATTTCTGGATTGGTCTTGTTCACTGAACAACCTTCCTGTCTTGGAGAATCTGGAACAAAAACTCCTAGTCATTTCCATGGCCGCGTCCTCCTGTACAGATGTTTGTGTTACAGATACCTTGAAAACAAATGTGTTCCCTCAAGTGGGGCAAGTGGGCAGGGTTTCCACAACCCCAGTTGTGCCCCCTTCCCATGATGCATTCTAAATGTACATGTGAATTGGTGGATCTCAATATTTCCGTAACCTTGGTAGCAGGGGAAGGTGTATGTTTGTCACCTGTATGAGAACCTGACAACCTGGCCGTGTTTCTTGTCCTGGTTGCAAAGCACTGTGGAGCTCACAGTGGTTTGACTGCCAGGGACTCCATTTAGCCTTGACACTCATTGCCCAGCATACAGCTGAGTAGGTTTGGGGTGACCACAGCACCTTTTAGCAGGTTGGAGAACTGGAGGAAGTGTATTATACATAGGCTTTGCCGCCTTGTTGTGTGTTATGTGTAACAGGTTCAGCTATAAAAGAAACACCACAACCACTATGAAAAGGACAGGCTGGCTGACTGCAGATTTGGGAGCGTCCTGTCACATGTAGTTATGCTGCCAACCCCTTACGTAGCCAAAATATATGTTCATGTCTCATTTGGCTGGGGTTTTTTTCTGGTTTGTGCATTTTACCTAGTACTGTCAGTTTGCCTTCCTTAAAATCAGCTCAGAAGCAGTTCTTTGCTCCTTATATTTGTATGGTTGGTTGCCCTTTTTAGAATGAAAGGTTGAAGGCTTGGGAGCTGTGCAGAATGAGACCTACTGAAAGTCAGCTAAATTTGCATTATATCTTCTAGCATCATGCATTTTCTTAAATCCCCCTGCACTGTAAGTATTCTCTTGTTTGGGCTGGGTCTTAAGTAAAACTCTGGCCTTGCATAATCTCTGTTGGCCCTTCCTAAACTTGATTTCACAAAGTAGGAAGGTTATGGTGGCTTGCTGTTGTTCAGCATCACTTCATGGCAACAACAGTAATATTTCTTTGCTCTTTTTTGCCTGCTATAACTCCTGCTTTTTGCCAGCCGAGGGAGCTTCTGTGGTAGTTGTGCTTGAGTTCACATATCTTGTTTACCAATATTTTATAACTATTTTATAACTTTTTTTATTATTGCAAGGTATACAGGTTATTTCACTGTTACTCCTCCCCACAAAGGAAATCCATTACTTCTTCCCAGGCATCTACATTTGATTTAACTGTAATTTTACTTGGATATATTCTTGCAAGGAATTTGATCACAACAGTTCCTGCCACAGACACAGGAGCTTGGGTGGTTAAGTGGTGGTGTTGCAGGATTCCTTGTTGCATGTGCAGGTATCTCAATGCCGAAACAGATACGGGGCCAGTGAAACTGTTGCTTGGGAATGGCTTTAGCTTAAGAAGCAGAGATTTGAGTGTTTGATTGTGTGTTTCAGTCAAGTGTGGAGCTATTGATGGAGCCAGCAAACCATAGGTTTTTCCACTGCTGCTTTATGATGTTCATCAGAAGTCAGTTCTATTTAATAATTAAATTTATAGTACTTTTTACTTCAGTCCCCATTCATTTAAGAGTTTGACTCGATGATCCTTGTGGGTCCCTTCCAACTCAGAATATTCTGTGATTCTGTGTAATTCTCATGTTTAGCCACACTGTGACAACATTGGTAAGCTGATAGATCCAATAAGATGTGGCCAGCAGGTCAAGGGAGGGATTCTCCCCCTCTACTCTGCTGTCGTAAGATCCCACCTGGAATGCTGTGTCCAGGTCTAGAGTGCTCAGCACAGGAAAGACACGGGTCCAGAGGAGGGGCACAGAGATGGTCAGAGGGCTGGAGCACCCTGAGCTGCATGAGGCTGGAGGTTGTGAGGACAGGAAGAGAGCTGGGGTTGTTCAGTTTGGAGAGACCTTAGAGCACCTTCCCGCGCTGAAAGGGGGCCTGCAGGAAGGCTCGAGGGGGACTTTTCACAAGTGATAGGACAAAGGGCAGTGGCTATAAGCTGCGAGACAGGAGGTTTAGATTATATGTTAGGAAGAAATTCTTTCCTGTGACAGTTGTGACATTGGATCGGGTTGCCCAGAGAAGTTGTGGATGCCCCATCCCTGTCAGTACACTCACGTGTTCATTCATCCTACCCCTTCGGCAGGATGTTTCTTTCCCAGATAATTCCTACCTTGCTGCAGAAATATTTTTCAAAATACTTTCTTTCCCTCCTTTGAGTTTGCAAAGAAACCCTGAGGTGAATAAAACTCAAGACAATACTGTCTGCAATTCCATAGCCAACTTGTAAAAACATTCCAAGTGGTAAAGAGGTAAAACTTAACTGATCAACAGTAATACAAAATCTTTGCAAATGACTTCGAAATACAAATTTTCAAAAAGTAATAACCTCTCATTTTTGAACAAATTAACACATAAAACCATGAGGCTGATTATGCTAAAGTTCCCCTAAAATTCAGTGTAGAGAAGCAGGCATTTTCAGAAGTTCAAATTTGACCAGATGGAATTTAACTCATCTTTAGAGAAAAGTCTCAAAATAATTTAAAAATAAATAAGAAATTAAAACCCTGCTTTTATATTCCCCAAGGAAGCCAGCTGGCTTGTCTCACCTGTCCATTGGTTTAGCATAACAGTATTTTGTATCTGGAGATTGCTCTGTAAAATGCTTGTTGCATTTTACTGGTTCATTTTCCACATCTGCACTACTTATGGGTTTACCTGTTGCAAACTAGGCTCCAGCGGGGATGCCAGTAATACTCAAAATACTCAAAATTTTCCTGTTTGAGGTGACACCGTGTTTCTCCCTGGGCTTGTTTGTGCTGGTGTCTGCCAGCTGCAGCTAGCTGTGCAGGGTTACAGCGGAGGTGTGACTCTGAGCCGCTGTCTGGGGTCAGGGCAAACCTGCAAAAGTTGCTCGCTATTGCCCACCCGTCCCTTCATAAAAGGACTCTGCAGCAGGATATTGGGAGTTATGTTTGTTTGTACCAAGAGGAAAGATCTCCAGAAGCCAAAACACTTAATGCAGCTTTGCTTCAACGATGGCTTCTCCGCTTCCTCTCCTTCACGGTTCTGGACTAGCTTTTATCCATTGACTGTTACCGTTCCCAGCACAAGGTGGCACTAAGATTCCAAGAGAGGGACTTCTCAGCCATGCAGCCCTGCTCCCGGTTAAGAACCAGTTTGTATTTGTTACAAGTTATTTGGCCATTTATTATTTTGTATGTGGGGTATCCTGGGAGTGGATCTGAGCATTACATGAAAGAAGCAAACAACCAGCCATGCTCGGCAAGGACAGTTTGGGAATACCTTGGTGCTGGATGCTGCTGTGCTTTTGCCGGTTTTAATCCTTTTGCATTCCACCAGGAGTTTCCCCTTCAGCACTTTCCAGCCTTCTCTGTGCCTGTCTCTCGAGTTTCCTCTGTTTCCATTAGTCAGAACAACTCCTGCCAAGGGCAGGCAGGCCGCATGTGCTGCTGTGCCCTGCATCCTGCTGGGAGCCACTTGCCACTGTGTTAAAGGTCCTTGTGCAACGGGCACCACCAATACAGGAGCAGTGGGACATGAGGGGAAAAGAGTGGAAAAAAGCAAGCAGTGTATCATCCTCCTCTCGTCCCCTGAGTCTATAGGAATTCTTTCTTGGTCGAGATCCAGTATTAACACTTGCCTCAGGAATGCTGTAAGGGTTCTTGAGGGGGAAGGGCTGTTGGCTGGTCTTACAGCTCCCAAAATCAAGTGAGAGCACGTTGGCTGCTGCCTGTCCTGTTGCTATGCAGTACTTTTAAATTAGTATTTGCTATGGTGTTGTACCTCCATGCTGTGTGCTA